TGGCACTAAAGAGTATGAGGACCCTTTAAAACCAACATACTCAATAATTTAGCACATCAAACCAACACTCCCCTCACCAGTCCCAGATGGTGAGGGAATTGCCTGAGCCCATGGGTTCAAGAACAGCCTGGGCAACTTGGTGAGACCTCATCTCTATAATAAATCAGAAAATTAGTTGAGTGTGATAGCACGCCCCTGTAGTTCCAGCCACTTGGAAGGCTGAGGCGGAAGGATCACCTTCCCAACAGGTCAACCCTGGGGTAGCCGTGAGCGCGCCTGCACTCCAGCCTGGGCGATGGAGTGAGACTCCAATTAAAAAAAAAATCTGCAGACACACATTGAACACAGAACTTGGCTGTATGTTAGATGCTAGTATAATTTTGAAAAGAAAATGGGAGAAGTTTTTCTCTTTTTATTTTTTGATTTACAAATGACCTCATTTAATTAAGGCAGCAAACGTGTCAAGGAAGAAAGGAAGTGGGTGCTGGAAAGAGGGAACAGAATATTAATTGGTAGTTATGGCTAACCGGGGGCGGGGCCCATATCTAGAACTGAAACTGTGATTAAGAACGTTATATCTCTTGGCTACTTCTGTGCATTTTATTTCTTTGGGGAACTTGGTTATTTTTTCTTTCAGGGTGTGCTTCCTTTTGTTCACACAGAGCGTCACAAGAGCTCCAGTGGAACCAGCTCCCAGGGCAGCAGAAAAGGATCAAGAACTGCCCTCTGACATTGAAAATGTATATTCTTGTAAATACACATGGCTCTTGTGTTTGCACTGGTCTTTGGTAAATGAAAGTCTTTTAGGGATTGGTCGTTATTGTCTGTATTCTTGGTCTTCATTTCTGCTTCTCCTGGTCGAGCCCTGACCAGCTGGTGAATTCCTCTGCCCTTCTCACTCCTTCCTAGCTTGTCTTCTAGTATCAGTGCCGAAGTCTGCTCCACGGTGAGCCCTAGGTTTTGAACTATTTTCACTGCCTAGGAGCCTTAGGGTTCTTCAGAGGGATCCCTGAACCTCTCTTCCACACCTTCCTTGAACTCAGTGCTGTGGTCAAGCTGACCTTTCCATGTTGCCTGGTCTTGGATCTACATCTAAGCAATACATCCCATTGAAGCCACCTTGCCACACCCACTTCACTCTAACTGGTCTCTGCTTTTTGAAGAAGTTAAGAAACCAACCCAGATGAATGGAAAGAACTCCAGCTGAACTCTGCTACAAAATTAGGTTATAGTCTCAAATTTAGAACCCTTCAAAAAAAAAGATTAGATTGTAAACCTGTCTGCCTTTTGCTGACCTTTCCTAATCTTTTTAGGCCTATACTTATTTATAGAAGGGAATATTACCTGCCACGTGGAATCATTAGGAATATTAAATTGGCTAACATGTTTAAAATATCTACAACCGTACTTGCCACATAAGCAAGCACTCAATATATATTCATCCCTTTCTTACTATTATATAAAAATGCCCTTAACTTAATGGGACTGAGCCGGGCTCGGTGGCCCAGCCTGTAATCCCCCACTTTGGGAGGCTGAGGTGAGTGGATTGCCTGAGCTCGCGGGTTCGAGACCCACCTGGGCAACTTGGCGAGACCTCATCTCTACAATAAATCAAAAAATCAGCCGGGCATGGTAACACGTGCCTGTAATTGTGGCTACTCGGAAGGCTGAGGCGGAAGGATCACCGGAGCCCAGCAGGTCGAGGCTGTGGTAGCCGGGAGCTGCCACTGCACTCCAGTCCGTGCGACAGAGTGAGACTCCAATGCAAAAAAAAAAAAAACTTAATGGGACTGGATAGGAATTCATATAGTAGTCTACCCTTATACATGGGGAATACATTCCGAGACCCCCAGTGGATGCCTGAAACCATGGATAATACTAAACCCTGTAAATATTATGTTTTTTTCCTATACATACATAACTCTGATGAAGTTTAATAAATTAGGCACAATAAAATCTTAAAATAGAACAATTCTAGCAGTATACTGTAATAAATGTTATGTGAATGTGGTCTGTCTCTTTCCCTCTCCCCCGGCCCCCACTGTAACATTTTTGGAGCTTGGTGGACCTCGAATAACTGAAACCATGGAAAGTAAAACCATAGATAAGGAGGACTACTGTATGCTATAGCCATTATACCTATCACTTATCCCCCATTAGTGATACACCATCCTTTGTACATGAAGATGATATACTTCCCTGCCCTCAAGAAGCTCTGTGCTTATAAGTTGTTTTTCTAGAAGTTGGATTTGTGCCTTACCCCTTGGGGATAGCCAACAAAGGTTGAGGGAGCAAGCCAGCTGGATTTTAGACAGAGATTAATCTGTGTCTATGGTAGAGAAACTAGTTGACCTATGAGGGAATAAACCAATGATGCCGCCAAATTACGGCATTTGGTGACAGCAGCACCTTAAGTACATTGGCGTGTATGCCACTTGGCTTCAGAGTGTTCTCACTTTCATTCAGTTTTTACGAGAGTTCTGGGAGGTGGACAGATTCTCACTCCACAGAAGAAAATGAGACTCAGAAAACATTCACACCCCATGTTACTCAGAATAATTAGTAAAACCCAGTACTAAAACACAGATCCTTCTAGCTCTCCTCTCACTGGTCACTTTGCATCTGTTTCTTACAGAATATTCACTTATTTGTTGAATGACTAGTTATTGAGGGTTTACTATGTGCTCATACTTTAGGAACTGGGGGATACAATGAGAAATAAAAGAAGTAGCCAGGCGCGGTGGCTCATGCCTATAATCTCAGCACTTTTGGAGGCAGAGGCGAGAGGATTGCCTGAGCTCAGGGGTTCGAGACCAGCCTGGGCAACATAGCTAGGCCTTGTCTCCAAAATAAATCAAAAAATTAGCCAGGCGTGGTGAGACACACCTGTGGTTCTAGCTACTTGGAAGGCTGAGGCAAAAGGATCACCTGAGCCCAGCAGATCTAGGCTGTGGTGCTAGTGAGCATGCCATTGTACTCCAGCCTGGGCAATAGAGTGAGACTCCAACTCAAAAAAAAAAAAAAAAAAAAAAAAAGACAAATCCCCTGCCTTGCTCTAATAGGGCATATTGTAAAGATCGGAGACCAACAGTTAACAAAACAAAATACGTAGTATTCCTACAAAAAATGTCAAGATAGTGGTGAGTGCTATGAAGAAAAATAAAGCAGAGAAGGAAGCAGGGGGTGGGCAGACACTGCAAGTTCTCTCTTGATTCTTTGTGCTTATTGTCTCATCCATGTGCTAAGCTTTCTGAGAACCAAGGTTATGTGCTAATTCCCAGCTGGTCTATCACATCCAGTATGGGTTCCTGTACAGCAGGTGGAGGGGGCATCTGTTTATCCCTGAGAACTGGAATAGCCTGGATAGCGCCTGGGAGTGCTCTGGTGGGTTGGGAAGGAACCTGTACTGGTTTTTCTTAGATGGTTTTTGTTAAATCTAGAGCTCCCCCTGCTGTTAGAGGATGGGATGTGAGCTTAGCGGTGCCTGTAAGATTCGTTTCATTTTTTTGAGTCGGAGTCTCATTCTGTCGCCCAGACTGGAGTGCAGTGGCCGCTCCCGGCCACCGCAGCCTCAACATGCTGGGCTCCGGCGATCCTTCCGCCTCAGCCTTCCAAGTAGCCGGAATTACAGGCATGCGCTACCACACCCGGCTGATTTTTTGATTTATTGTAGAGATGAGGTCTCGCCAAGTTGCCCAGGCGGGTCTTGAACCCGTGGGCTCAGGCAGTCCACTCACTCAACCTCCCAAAGCACAGGATTACAGGCTGAGCCACTGAGCCGACTTGATTCGTTTCTTTTTTTAATCCTAAGATTTATTTGTTTGTTTGTGTTAGTAAGTACTGCTGGGACATTGAAAGCTTTCTTCTGGGACTGCTATTGCTGAGGCCCAGGCGCCTCCCCGCCCCCCCCCCCCGGGGGGGGGGGGGGGAAGGGAGGAAGCACAAAGGCCCAGGAAGGATAGAGTCATATCTATATGTTCTTGCTACTTTTAGTGTCTCCTCACCCCTGCACTCCTACCACAGCCAAAAGCTTAGCAAAAGTTATCTCTGCTCACAGTTTCACAGCTGTTCTAAAATTCTAGGGCAGCAGAAGTGAAACTAACCACAGTCTTGTAAATTTCTCTCTTATTGCCACTGTTCCCTCCTTGAAGTCAGGCCTTTTTCTCTCATCATCAGAGAATATTAAATCATTTGTCCTTATAGGCAAGTTTTTAACAAAAGGAGACAGACCCTCCATTCATGGTACAATATAAAAACACTCCAGAAGGAGGGTTTTGGTTTAGTCGTGCCACCTGAGAGTCATTTGCAGGAGTTGAGCCTGTGGTCTGTGTGGCGGTATCCCAGAATAGAGCTGAACCCTTCTTGTCAGCTGTCAGTTGTGTGTGTTCTTTCGCATGGGTCAACCATACAATTGCTGTGAAGTTCTTTTAGTTCTTAGAGATGAAATTCAAGTTAATTTTAGCAGCACTATTAATACCACCTGAGGAGAAGTAAATGGCACCTGAATGAACATACATCTTTGTGGTTTTAACTGTCCAATTGAAACAGTTTGGCCACTTTATGATTCCTAATGAAGTTGGAGAAGTAAGGCTGACCCAACATACAGCCCTGCTCCTCCCTGTGACCAGGTCTTCTGAGAGTAGCGTGAGGCCCAGAGTTCTTAGAGGCTTAGCTGTTGGGGGCTGTGCGGCTGACAGCCTGGTAATGGTCCAGGGTGTTTTTAAAAGTTACATTCCATGGGTTCACTTTATGGAGCCCAAGCTCAGGCAGCAGCTATTCCCGTTAGTAATCATAAAGTAACCAAAATTGTTTTAATGGGGTAACTAAACCATAAAGATACATGCTTACTCAGGTGTCATTTCCTTCTTCACTTCAGCTGGTATTAATAGTACTGCTAAAATTAACTTGGATTTAAGATGCCTTCTCCACTGAAAATTGTAGCACTAGACATGATGTTTCTTCACTAGGAGGTAATTCTTTTATGGTTCTTCTCTCAACAGCTTTGAAAAGTCCAGCTGCATTTCATGAACAGAGAAGGAGCTTGGAGCGGGCCAGGGTAAGATGCCTTTCTTCCCCCTGGGACTCCCAAAAGAGCATTTTCAGAGTTCATTGAATTGCTGGTTATATTTCCTTCCAGTCTAGCAGGACTCTAAGGTCTACCCTGACCTCACAGTTCTACATAGAAAGCTTGCTTTTAGCCCAGTGTGGTAGTGTGCATCTATAGTTCCAGCTACCTGAAAGGCTGAGACAGAAAGATCACCTAAGTCCAGAAGGTCGAGGCTGCAGTGGCCGTGAGCATGCCACTGCACTCCAGCCTGGGTGACAAGAATGAGACTCAAACTCAAACCCCCAAAAAAAGCAAGCAAGCTTGCTTTTCCTATGCCATCCCTAACCTCAGCCACATTCCATGGTGATTATATGAAACATAATTGGAATGAAGTTTTTCCTTTAGTGCATTTAAGGATATGGAATGATCACCTGAGCCTCCTTCCCTGAACCTTGCTTTGGAGATCACTGGTACTTCCCCATCTTTAATGCCACTTAACCTTTTGTAGATGTTAGGACACGAACATCAGCCATGGAGAAGCTTTCCCAGCCCAGTTCTACACTGCCCACACCTCTGCAGGACAGGCATGCCAAAGGGCAGGAAACCTCCCTGATCTGTGTCTACCCAGAGCACCCAAGGTCCACTTGACCCTTGTGGAAAGCAGAAACTTGCCCATACTCTGAGCCCAAGTTTCTTGCTGTAGCACCTTACTTGCATCCCCGTCGTCATGCTCAGTTTCAGTTTTCCTGGGGCCCCTGGGAAATATTCTGCTGCCCATTGTGGCCAGATATAAGGAAGTTACCAGAACTTCCCCCCACCTTCTTTTTATGTACAGTCAAGGGAAGAGAGCCCTTCCCAGCCAAGTGATTTCTTTTCCATTCATTTTCTTAGACATTAATGTACTCCAGTAGTCATGAATACTTTTGTTTTTCTTTTTGGTTTTTTTTTTTCGTTGTTTTTTTTTTGAGTTGGAGTCTCACTCTGTCACCCAGACTGGAGTGTAGTGGCCGCTCCCGGCCACCGCAGCCTCAACCTGATGGGCTCCGGCAATCCTTCCGCCTCAGCCTTCCAAGAAGCTGGAACTACAGGCGTGCGTACCACGCCCAGCTAATTTTTTAAATTTATTGTAGAGATGAGGTCTCGCCAAGTTGCCCATGCGGGTCTCGAATCCGCGGGCTCAGGCAGTCCACTCACCTCAGCCTCCCAAAGCGCAGGATTACAGGCTGAGCCACTGAGCCCAGCTATACTTTTAATGATAGCAGTTGCAAAGTTTTCATCTTTAAATAAAGTCTTTTACAAAAAGTCACAGTGGGAGAACTCCCCTCCACATCCACCCAGTGGAGAATCATAGGCCACAGCTCCTTGAAGATCCATGGTGTTTTAGAAATTCGGAGATACTTTCTTCTGTTTCTTTTTCCTTAGAAAATCATGACTAATTCTTAGAGTAAGTAGGAAGAATGAGGTCATGGGTACTGGGAACCAAAAGCAGTATTAAGTGGCACTGGTTTAATTTGCTAGGAGCACTCCAGAGTGCAGTGGGAGGAGGAAAGAAATGACATTTCCCATACCCCCACCCAGTTGGAAGACTAAATACCATTTCCTTGGCTGCTTCTAAGCAGGGAGCAAATAGAGTTGATTAGAACTGTCACTATTTTATTGAACACTTTTATGTGCGAGGTTCTATTTCTTATTTATCCATACACTAACGTTTAGAATTAGGTCTTATCCTCATTTTATAGCAGCAGCTAAAAGAGGTTAACTCACTTGTCCAGCTAAGAAGTGACAGATTTAAGACTCAAACCTTGGTCTGTGTATTCTAGTTTTTTTTTTTGTTTGTTTGTTTTTTTTTGGAGTCTTACTCTGTTACCCAGGCTGGAGTGTAGTGGCACACTCATGGCCACCCCAGCATTGACCTGCTGGGCTCCGGTGATCCTTCCATCTCAGCTTTCCAAGTAGCCAGAACTACAGGCACACACTACCATGCCCAGTTAATTTTTTATTTATTGTAGAGATGAGGTCTCGCCAAGTTGCCTGGGCTGGTCTTGAGCCTTCAGGCTCAGGCACTCCACTCGCCTCAACATCCCAAAGTGCTGGGATTACAGGCTGAGCCACCGAGTTTGGCCTTAGATTAGATATATTTTAACAAAATAATTTTATTTCCTAACACATTGTAACCATATACAGTTTGTGCTTATCTTGCATATCTGTTCACAATTGGCTTCCAAATTATAGTAACTGCCTTTTTTTTTTGAGTTGGATTCTTACTCTGTCACCTAGGTTGGAGTACGTTGGCACACTCATAGCTATTGCAGCCTCAATCTGCTGGACTCAGGCAATTCTTCTGCCTCAGCCTTCCAAGTAGCTGGAACCACAGGCATGTGCCACCATGCCCAGCTAATTTTTTGATTTATTGTAGAGATGAGGTCTCACCAAGTTGACCAGGCTGGTCTTGAACCCTGAACTCAGGCAATCCTCTTGCCTCTCCCTCCCAAAATGCTGGAATTCCAGGCATGAGCCACTACCTCCAGCAACTACCTTTAGATTTAAGTGTGTACTAAAAATTATTTAATTGAGATGTGGAAAATTAACATATTGGATTAGTTATAGCAGAATTTGCTTTAGTTAATCCTAAAAATTCAAAGCTTTGAAAAGCTACTATTTTTGCATCTCATACTTCCAAATAAGCATGATACAGTAATATCAGCTTGTATTCCAGAGAGATTTCATTAGTTTTTCTGATGATGGGGTCAACTACCCATATCTTTTGGTGCTGTGCAGACAGCTTCACGTGATGGTGGGGAGACATCCATGATAGTTTTGCCACTGTGAGGATCACACTCAGGGGGCTCTCAGACATTGGTGTATTCATGCAACTGATACTCTTTCTTTTCCTTTTTTTAAATTTTAGAGATGTGCTCTTGCTTACTCATGTGTCTCTTGACAGCTCTTGTTATGTTGCCCTGTGCTATCCTGGGCTCAAGTGATCCTCCCACCTTAGCCTCCTGAGAAGTTAGGATTACAGGCATGAACCACCATGCCCAGACAAATTGATTCTTTTTCCATTTGTTTTCTTAGACAGTAATGCTCTCTAGTGGTTATTAATTTTTTTTTTTTTTTGTTGAGTTGGAGTCTCACTCTGTCACCTAGACTGGAGTGCAGTGGCACGCTCCCTGCCACCGCAGCCTTGACCTGCTGGGCTCAGGCGATCCTTCCGCCTCAGCCTTCCAAGTAGCTGGAACTACAGGCGCATACTACCATGCCTGACTAATTTTTGATTTATTGTAGAGATGAGGTCTCACCAAGTTGCCCAGACAGGTCTCAAACCCGCGGGCTCAGGCAATCCACTCACCTCAGCCTCCCAAAGTGCCGGGATTACAGGCTGAGCCACCGAACGCAGCTATTAATGTTTTTAATGATATCAGTTGCAAAGTCCTTTTCTTTAAATTCTTCACTAAAAGCAAACTGGCACTCTGGTTTTCCATCAGGAATCTTGTACTTTCTAAACCAGTCCAAAGTAGCTTCTAGGTAGCCAAGTTTCAGCCATTTGATATCATTAATATGCTTACTATTAGTTATAAAGGTTACTACTCATGAATAACCAAGTGGAAGAAATGCATGGGTATGTGGGAAGGGGCAGGGAGCTTCCATGCCCTTTCTGGATGGGTGTACCAACCTCCTGGCACCTTCACACATTTACCAACTTTGAAGCTCCTCCAAATGTTTTCTTAACCAATATTATATTTTGCATCTGCCTTTGCCACTGTTCAGAGCTTCAGGTGGCTTAGAAAATATGCCTCCCTTTGCTATCTGTGAAAACCTGCAGCACCCATCATCTGCTCTACCAGCCTTTGCAGCAGCTGAGATGGTACTCCTGCTCACTGCAGATGGGGTGATAGATACTGTGCCCACACCTATTTAAACCATCTCCTGGAGGACTCAGCCACCCCAGGGCTGGCACAGAACCACCCAGCCAGAGCACCAAGGCAGTAGACAGCTAGGGCGAGCAACAATCTTGACTTTTACTATATATGATGTGCTCTGATACTTTATTTCCTATTGTTCTGTACTTCATCATGCCATGTGCTAGCCTATCCTGTGCCGGTTCTAAACCACTAATGTACTACAGTGTGAAAATACTGTGCAGAGGTTAAGAGCACAGGCTTTGGAGTCAGATATAGGGTCACATATATGTTATAATTAGCCCTGGGTGACTGTTCAGGGAATAGTTTAGTTTGTGGAGGGTCTAATAAATGCAGAAATGAGAATGTGTGAACTTTAGGGAACTAGAGCTATGACACCATGTATCAAAATTAGTATTCCATTTGGCAGCCAGTCAAAAGGAATGGAAAAAGCTCATGAGATCATACAATGTTAAATTTTGAAACAAGATATAAAATTATATTCAGTATTTTTATAGCTCTGTAGAATTAAACTTACCTTCTGCGTGGAAAGATGACTAGAGACAGATATTTCAAAATGCTTACAGTGAATGAATAAATTTTTTTACTGTTTTACTTTCTAATTTTCTTTGATGAACATATATTGTTTTTATGATAGTAAAGTAATGGTTTTTTAATAGGTTATTAGTCCAACCTCAGAGAGACAAACAATCTTGAAGGATGGGGCCCTTGGCATGTGCAGTTGGACGTTGGTGTGTCTTCCCCAGGCCTCCCCTTCAGAATCCTGCAGTCACCAAGTTAAGGTCTTGGGGGCTGCAGAGGTAACCAGCAGCAACCACTACAGCCATGGCTGCTCTTGTGATCTTGTCCATTCCATAAGCTTATGACATAGATTTGAGAGTTTCTTGGTATGTTTTTCTGTAGACAGAGGACTATCTGAAGCGAAAGATTCGTTCCCGGCCGGAAAGATCAGAACTGGTCAGGATGCACATTTTGGAAGGTGTGTGAGATTGGAATTGCTTCTTTATCTAAACTCAATTCTCACTGTGTGTTTGCCACTGTACCACGTACTTCTCTTTTTTCTTCTCACTCCCATTTCTGTTGGCAATGGGTAAGCCAGAGCCTTAACACAGTAAAACAGTCATGGTGTGGTAGCTATCACTGATTTGGGGGAATCTCAAGGAGCACAATCACATTCTCTTGGGTTGACCTGACCTGTTCTCCTGGGTCTCACCATCTTATAGTGTGAATCGCTTCTCTCTGCTAGGGTAGATCCTTTTTCTACTCTAAATTCTGTTTTTAAAATTCATTTACTTTCTTTTTGTTGTCGTTGCCCAGACTGTGGCATGCTCACAGCCACTGCAGCCTCGACCTGCTGGGCTCAGGCAGTCCTTCTACCTTAGCCTTCCAAGTAGCTGGAACTACAGGCATGCGTCACCATGCCTGGCTAATTTTTTTTGTTATAGAGGCACGGTCTCTCCAAGTTGCCCAGGCTGGTCTCAAACCCATGGGCTCAGGCTCACCCTCCCATAGTGCTGGGATTATAGGTGTGAACCACTGTGCCCAGCGCATTTTCTTTTCTATATTTTCATTCATTCAGTTATTCACTTGGCATTTACTTGAGCATCTGTGATATGCAGTGCTCCATTTAAGATCATCCTAGTTGTATTCTACCTGGCCCCAACCATACACTTCTTTTTACATTTTTAGTTTTGGCTCCTGGAAGCAGCATAAATATATCTACTTTTTGTGTGTTTAGTTTTGAGCCATCTTTAGAGCGGAAAGAGAACAATTCTAGTCTGAACCCCACATGTTACAGGTGAAGGCAGTAAAACCCAGAGCAGAGGGGTGAATTGCCCCAGTAGCCCAGTAGCACAGTAAAACCCAGAACTGAAGAAGGGTGAGAGCTTCTTCAGCTCTGTAGCTCCACCTCAGAAAGTCCCCTGGGCATCATGTACCTGATTGTAATTGTGTTTGACCATGCTCTTCCCTTAGTGGGAGCCCCTTCTTTGGTCATTGTAAAACTTCAAGCCAGGCCACCCTTCTCTGCCTAGAATATGCCTTCCATTCTGATGGCCTTTGCTCCTGCCCAGGAGGAAGGAGAGCTGCTCTGGAGTTCTCAGGGTAGAACCATGTCCACCCATGTCTTCCTGCTCCCCTTTCCCATGGGCAGAGACCTCTGCCGAGCCTTCCCTCCAGGCCAAGCAGTTGAAGCTGAAGAGAGCCAGACTAGCTGATGACCTCAATGAGAAGATTGCACAGAGACCTGGTCCCATGGAGCTGGTGGAGAAGAACATCTTGCCTGTGGAGTCCAGCCTGAAGGAAGCCATCATTGGTGAGGAGACTCCAGCCACGATGCAGGGCAGGAGCAGCAAAATAGGCCATGACTCTTGGCTTCTTGCCCCTTGACTTCCTGCTTAGTCTTAGGAAAACCAAAGCACAGAGTTCGAGAGCCTGATAAGCAGGTTGGGTTAGCTTGAGATGGTACCAGTTACTGGGAGCATACAAAAATAAATAACCAAATAAACAACAGAGAGGCCTCATGTTCACTTTCCATCTGTGTAAACTCAGGGGCTTAGTCCTCTTTCACAGAATAGGTAGATGTCAGGATTAATATGTGTGAACATGCAAAGATACCCAGAATTATAAATATGTACTTTATTGTTTATTTTTATTAGTGAAATCTCTTCTTGGAGCATGGCCCTTTCCACAGATATTTCAGTCATCAAATATTGATGGACCCAAGCAGTGTGCTAGGGGCTAGGACCACAGGACAGACCAAGTTCTGCCATCCATATGAAGCTCATGTCTAGGAGCAGATATAGGCAGGTAAATAGGAAGTGGCAAGACAGAGGCAGAAGATGTGCTGGAGGGAGCCCAGGAGAATCACCCAACCTGGCTGCAACAGAGAGGGGTATGGCTATCAGGGGAGGTGAAGGCCAAGCCTGGGGCTGAGAATGAGTAGGAATTTGCTAATGTGTGTGGGCAGAGATGAGAGAGCACTAGGACCTGGTGAGACAGCACTAGAAGGGAAAGTGTCAAGACAAGAGGCAGGAGAGGTGAGCACGGTCCAGGATGTGCAGGGCCTCTTGTGCTGTACTCAGGAGTTTGGACTTGATTTCCTCAGTGTAAAGGGAAAAAAAAACCCTGTGTTCATTTTGGTATTATGGTTAGGGTTTCCCCACACACCAAGCAATTCTCCAGTGGACACCAACTGGATGTCCTCTAATTCAGTTCAATCCTGACACTGTCTGCCTGGAAATAATGTCACATCTCATAGGCATAGTCCCACAGGTGTGCCTCCACTTTACTGACCAGTCACAGGTCCTGGGTTGTGATCTGGGTTCTGACCAACTGGCTGTAAGTTAGGATTCCCATACCCCCTCCTTGGGTTTGAAAATTTGCTGGGATTGCTCACAGAACTCCAGAAAATTTGCTGGTTTATTATAAAGGATATTACTAAGGATACAGATGAACAGTCAGATGGAGCAATGAATAGCACAATGTGTGGTGTTACATGGAGCTTTCCTGCCATCTTTGGGTATACCACCCTCCCAGACTTCTAGGTATAGTATACAGTGACCTAGAAGCTCATCACATTTGTTATGCAGGAGTTATTTTTGTTTTTGCTTTTTTTTTGAGCTGGAGTTTCACTCTGTCCCCCAGACTGGAGTGCAGTGGCATGCTCACGGCCAACCTAGTGTCAACCTGCTGGACTCCAGTGATCTTTCCACCTCAGCCTTCCAAGTAGCCAGAACTACAGGCGTGCACTACCACACCTGGCTAATTTTTTGATATGTTGTAGAGATGAGGTCTCGTGAAGTTGCCCAGGCTGGTCTCGAACCCATGGGCTCAGGCAGTCCTCTCACTTGGTCTTGAACCCATGGGCTCAGACAGTCCTCAGCCTCCCAAAGTGCTAGGATTACAGACTTGAGCCACCGCACCTGGCTTTTTTTGCTTTTTTCTCCACACACAATACCCTGATGAATAAGGTTTTTCGTAGAGTTTGATCTCCATCCAGGCCACCCACATCCCTCCCCTACCGTCCTAGAGGATGGAAGGTGGGACTGAATGTTCCAGTCCTCTGAACTGCCAATCACTCTGTCTTTCTGGTAACTGGCCCAATCTTCAGGCTATCCCAAGTCACCTCATTAGCATAAACTGGGGTGTATGGAAAGGGGCTTATTATAAATAACAAAAGACATTCCTGTCCTTCGGGAAATTCCAAGGGTTTTAGGTACTCTGTGATAGGAGCTGGTAGACAAAAACCAAATATATTTCTTATACCACAATTAGATTTTGGTGCTAATCGGTACAGACATGTCTTCTTCACTGCAGTGGGCCCAAGACCTAATCCCTGCCAAGATCACACGTGCCTGCTTCCCCCAAGGTAACCATACCTGCAGAGAAAAGAGCTTAGGCTTTGGGCAGGACTTGAGGGGGAACCACTGGAGCAGACCCTGAGGCATGCTGAGTTAGGAGCTCTGATCAGAGGATACTGGTGGTTTCTAGGGCCTTGTCTGCACTGCAGCCACCCTCTTGGAAGCTGGCACACCCTGAGCCCCTAATAGCCCTTTTCCCATTTTGGTGCAGTAGCTCTTATAATTCACCAATTTTCCCTGGGTTGTGCTCTGTTTCATCTCAGCGTTTTCCTCCCCATATTCCTCAGCACCCCTAGTTACAGGCCAGAGTATGGGCCAAGACCAATTCTGATCTCTGTGCCAGCCAAAATCTGATAAGCATTTGCTGAGAGTTGGCAATGTGCCAGGTCCTATGTGTAGTCCTGAAGTCACAAAGAGGAATAAAATATGACTTGTGCTCTCAAAGAATTCACATCAGTCTGATATGAGAAGACTGATGTATAAATAAGTGATTTCTGAGTCTGGCCCCTGGTCAGATGCCAGCGCTACTTAGTAGAAAGGCCATGGCCCTATGACATTGTCGCTGAGTCACCTGCCTTGTGGGACTGTTGGCAGGATCACACACAATCATGGATACAAAGGGTTCAGCAGGGTCTTTGGTGATTTCATGCAATAGTTGCTGCTGTTGTCAGCAGTAATGCCCATTCCAGACCAGCTGACAATGGCTGTAATGGACAGTGTATAGCAATAGTTGTGTGTGCATCAGTACAGTGGGAGCTTGGCAAAGGGACTTCTCTCAGGGATAGGGACAGGTAGCAATGGCTGGGGAATTACCCACATGAATATAGCACTTTTGGGGGGTAGCTTAGAGGTTGGATCAGAGTTTGTCGAATGGAGAAGTACAGGAGACAGTCCAGGCAGAGGGAACAGGATGGGCAGGGACCTGGAGGCCTGGCAGAGTACTACTTGTTTGAGGTGTTTGGCAGTGAGGTGATCATTGGGATCTTGAGAGAAAGGAACATGTGCCCGCAAAAACCAGATTGTATTGTTGAGAAATGAGTGAAAGGGAAGGAGGTGGTGGTGGCAAATGGAGTTTATTTGCTCAACAGTTCAGTGGAGAAGGAGAAGGAGATGCTGGTTAAGCAAAGGTTTTCAGACTGGGAGAAATGCAGCAAGTTTATGGGCTGAGAGGAAGGACTCAAGCGAGAAGCTGAAGAGATGGGAGGATAGGCGTTTCCTGAGAAGGAAGAGGAAATGGAACCCAGGCTGAGGTGGAGGTTTGGTTCAGATAGGAGGAAAGGCAAAGCTGAGGACAAAGGGAAGGAAAGAGGGTAGCAAGAGGAGAGGGAGAGGCCTGAGAAAGAGCCTGGCAGGGGGCTTGGAATTTTCCCCACACACTCAAGCCTGCTTAGATGTGTGTACGCACACGCATACGTACACACACACACTGCTATACCTGTTTCCTCCAGACCACTTTTCAGGATCCATGGCAAGCCCTCTTTTCCAGGAAGTCTTCCCAGAGTCTCTCTGCGCCCATAGCTTCTTGTTTCCTTGTAGCAGAGCATTTACTGTGCTCCAAGGTGACTGAACCACAAACACCCTGAGGGCAGTGACCCTGTCTTTGCTTTAGCACACACCTGGTCCCAGAGAGAAGTAGATTCTGTAGCCACCCTGACCTGCACTGGGTCTTCCCCAGTAGGACCACCAGCATCCTTGGGTTGGACCAATCAGCGGGAACTGCAGCTCCTACATCCTAGATTACTGTCATCAGTGCTGGCTGCCACACAGCTGCTGTCCCATGGCAGGCACCCTCACTAAGAAGAGATTGGGGGGAATCTATATGGATGGCTGGTATGAAGTACACGTGATCAGCAAGCTGTCCCTTCTGTGCATTGCACACTTGCCCCTGCTGGGGATAGTTAAAGGTACAGAGGAGTAAGCATGCATGGCTCTGTTGCCACAGTCACTAATAAGGGAGAAGCTCAGGTGCATCGTTCCCAGGTCTCAAGGGAGGAGGGAGCCTAGGTCCTGGCTTTGGAGAGGAAGAGGTCGCTGGGAGAGTTGCTATGTGGACAAGCCCAGCCTGAGCCCTCACACCTTGTTCCTCTTCCTTATCTGGGGTCTTCCCTCACAGCACACTTCCCCCTTGGGCAGCAGCTCACCTCTTGCCTTCACCACTGTCTCAGTTCCTCCTACGTGGACAGCAGATCACTCAGAACCTGCCACCTGCACCTCTTCCCACGACAGTGCTGAGCTGGTGGTTGTGACATGACTCTTGAAATATCCTTGCCTGTGTTCCCATCTTTCCTTCCCTCTGCAGCCTGAGATTCCCATGCTGGGCCCCGTGGAGCAGAAGCTCTGTGCTGCGCCCTCCTTCCCTGCCTGTGCCTCCTAGCTGGCCCCAGGAGGACACACATTCACAGCCATCCCAGAGCTCAACTGTGCGTCAGGCCAGGGCACTTATGGCCAGCAGGATGTTTTCTTCTGGTGCCTCTGCTGTCCAGGTGTTGAGTCTCTGGGAGCCACTGGCCTCTTTTTTTTTTTGAGTCAGAGTCTCACTGTGTCACCCAGACTGGGGTACGGTGGCACTCTCATGGCCACCGCAGCCTCAATCTGCTTGACTCAGGCAATCCTTCTGCCTCAGCCTTCCAAGGAGCCGGAACTACAAGCATGCACCATCACTCTTGGCTAATTTTTCTTGATTTATTGTAGAAGTGAGTTCTTGTCAAGTTGCCCAGACTGGTCTTGAACCCATGGGCTCAGGCAGTCCTCTCACCTTAGCCTCCCAAAGTGCTGGGATTACAGACTTGAGCCACCTCATCCGGCTTCCACTGGCCTTTAAAGGAGGTCACAGCTGGGCTCAGTGGCTCAGCCTGTAATCCCGCGCCTTTGGGAGGCTGAGGTGGGTGAATTGCCTGAGCCCGCGGGTTCGAGACCCGCCTGGGCAGCGAGACCTCGCCTCTACAATAAATCAAAAAATCAGCCGGGTGTGGTAGCGCATGCCTGTAATTCCGGCTACTTGGAAGGCTGAGGTGGAAGGATTGCTGGAGCCCAGCAGATCGAGGCTGAGGTGGCCGGGAGCGGCCACTGCACTCCAGTCTGGGTGACAGAGTAAGACTCCAACTCAAAAAAAATAAAAATAAAAAATAAAGGAGGTCACCACTCTTCCACTGGTCCATTTTACCTGTGCAGGCAAGCATCTCTTTTCCGGGATGTCCTACCTCCACAGAGGAATTCAGTGGCTGTTCTGGCCTTTGAGGAATTCACAAGCTGATACCCAAGTTCCTCTGGTCCCTCATCATCAGGTTCAGTGCCCTCATTGCATAATCTGTAAGCATGAGGAGGAAGAAGAGAGTTTTGCGTTGCCACAGGATAGCGATCGAATACCTATAACAGCAGATAGACAGATGAGGTGGAAAGGCAGTCTGGGTCTCCCGGAGAGGAGCAGGCTAAAGCAAGGAAGGGAGGAACTTGACTCTGAAGACCGTGAATGCAGCATAGAGTTGAAACCAAGAGGTTAAAAATGAGACCTTTCCTCAGCTCAGGGCAGCATTTTGATGGCCTCAGAGGCCTTTCGGGCCTCTGTGGTAAGGTCATGATGATGAACTCTTTTGGACTGAGAAAGCAGGCTGGCTGCTCCTCTCCCTTAGACTGCCTGCCTTGCAGGGTGTAGGGGCCAGCTCTCTGATGGGACAGCCTTTGACTGAAGAGCAAGGCCTTTCTTCCCTGCTTACCAGTGCAGTGGGGCCATAGGTGGGGTCTCATGCCAGTTTTGGGTTTCAGTGGGCCAGGTGAATTACCCGAAAGTAGCAGACAGCTCTTCCTTCGATGAGGACAGCAGTGATGCCTTATCCCCGGAGCAGCCTGCCAGCCATGAGTCCCAGGGTTCTGTGCCATCACCCCTGGAGGTCCGAGTCAGCGAAACACTGCCCAGTGCCACTTCTATCTCCCCAACTCAGGTGAGCTTACTCACTTGCAGATGCTTCCCCGTACTTGCTGGGGCTGTCCAGAGCAAGGTCTGTGTCCTGGGCTGAGTGGGGTGGGTGGTTCCTGCTCTGGCACAAGGAAGCCAGATGGATGTTACCCTAGTATCTCAGGAGCTGCCTGCTTGAGCTCCTGGTGGGGAGGCGGGAGGTGTGGGCAGGACCCTCCTCCACCCCCACTTCCATCAGCCTGAGGTCTAGGTTGCAGTTGGATTTGCAGACCTCACTGGTCCTGCCCCTTGTGCATCCAATCAGAGAAGCATGCTTTTCTTGAATGTATTTGGTTCCATGATCTTTTTACCACCTTCTGTCTTTTCTAGTTCCTTCTTGTGCTACCCTGGTCTCTGCCCTTCATTTGCCCTCTGACAGTTATGGCATCCAAGGAAGGGCTACCACTCCTACTCCCTGTGCAAGGTCATGCAGGCTGTAACATTCCAACTGAAGATGGCTGTATCCTCACTTCCTCTCTCCCCTCTCAGGTTGTGTCTCAACTCCCAGTGGGCCCAGATTCTGGAGAAATGCTTTTCCTGGCCGAGCAGCCTCCTCTGCCTCCCCCACCTCTGCTGCCTCCCATCCTCACCAATGGAACCACCGTCCCTACTGCCAAGCCTGTCCCCACACTCATTAAGGTATATTTCTGCCAATGATTGTGCCCTCCTATTCCCTGTTGTCCCCAGAGCCCTGCCATGACTTCATTCTGGTTTGGGGCAGCTGTAAGGGGTGGGGTGCATATCTTCTCCCAATGGTCAGGGACTTTCTTCTTGTTCTCCCCACTATTCATGGTGACACTGTGTCAGGCACTGGCCTAAGGCTCTCCAGGTCCTCATTCCTGTTGCCATCTATGAACACATACCCACGCATTCCGTCTTGTCCATTTGACAACCTCATGGGGCAGATGGTAGAACTGTGAGGAAACTGAGAAATGAAGTGACGTGCCCAAAGTCACACAGCTGGTATCGTCAAGTGTTTGTTTTTATTCCCTTCCTCCAAGGCCTGGCCTGACATACCTGAAGGAGACAGGAGTTATGTCATTGGTGTGGAAGACATTGTGCTGGGCACTGCTGGCCTCATAGGCACAAAGGTGTCTGATACTAAATACTAAATTCAGTAGCACCAAGTCTGGTACTAAACTCTCCCTGCCCTGCAGACCCACCTGGGACCTGAGTCTGGCACTTCTGCCTCTTCCACACTTCCCAACTCACTTCATCCTCACCCTGTCTGCTCTTTTTTATTTTTTTTGAGTTGGAGTCTCACTCTGTCGCCCAGGCTGGAATGCAGTGGCACACTCATGGCCGCCCCGGCGTCAACCCTCTGGGCTCCGGCGATCTTTCTACCTCAGCCTTCCAACTAGCCGGAACTACAGGCATGAGCTAGGCCCTCCCCCTGCCCCGCCTCGGCTAATTTTTGATTTATTGCAGGGAGACAAGATCTCGCCAGTGCCCAGGCTAGTCTTGAACCTAGGTTCAGGCAATCCACTCGCCTCAGCCTCCCAAAGTGCTGGGATTGCAAGCTGAGCCTCCGAGCCCGGCCTGCTCTGTCCTTTCTTATTCTCCAGGTTTCCTCCCCACACAGACCTTGTGCCTGGCTTGACAACCCCTGACCAACCTGGGACCATCATGGCCCCTCTCCTTTTGCTGTGAACCTCAGGAAAGGCTGACAGCTCGCAACCTGAGAGCCGTCGATTCTTGTGCTCTGGCCTTAGCTGAGTCCACTGTGGCCCTGGGGGCTGCCTGTTCATTTTGTGGAACTCCCTGACACTTTCCTATGTTGGCATCCCACAGCCCTGCCTCTGTCTGTACATGACTTTGTCATCTCTATGGAGACCATCACCCACCCTGTTCCATTAGAAAATGGCTGTGGCTTCCCCGCCCCTCTCTCCTCCCCGAGGCCCAGGGCGACCTCGAGCAGCCTGTCCTTCCAGACCACCTCTGCTCTTGATGCTGTCTGGTTGCACCAGGACATTGCCTCATTAGTTGGCACCTCTCTTGCATCTGCAGATTCTTGCTTATTGTCTGCTAATGTCACAGATTTTCCCCCAAAGTTCCTCACTCCAGCATGTTCCTTGTTACACTCCTGTTTACCTTCCTTTGATCATGGCATGTTTAAAAGAATAGTCTGTATGTGTTTCATCTATACTTCCTCTTTTTCAGTTCATCCCCACCCCACCAGTGGACTGAAACAGTTCTCTCAAGGGTCCCTAATCCAAAACCACCCTTTCCCTGCTGGCAGCATCTGCCTCACCGCCCCCTACCCCCATGTGCTCTTGGCCTAGTTCTTCGGGATTCCCTCTTAGCTGCAGCACTTTCCCTGCCTCCCTTCTCCTCCCTGCTTTAAGTGGGGGTCTGACCTAGGACCTACTCTCAACTTCCTCTCTCCCTCTTCCCTGTGGGTTTGCCTGCTCCTCAGCCTGTGCTCAGAGCCTCTGTAGGCTCTGTTCCCATCCATTTGGCTGTTACTGGCTCCACAGCCTCAGCACACCTGTCCTTTCTCTGCCATTTCCATATTCCCCACAAAACCAAAACCTGATGACCATGAGCCTTAGCTCCTCACCTGCCACAGGTTCACGTTGTCTGTTCTGCTACTGGGACACCTCTGCCCAGATCTTCCTTTGCTTTCCATTGCCACTTGGCTGAGACCCCACTTGATCCTGTATCTAGTCTTTTACCCTCTGTCTGCCATTCTCTGCTCAGACACTTCTCAGCTCTCTGCAGTCTCTCTCTGGTACTCCCTCACTAACCACCCTCTTATCTGACGCCATCCTTCCCTGCAGACAGGCCTTCCGAACATGCCCACTGACTCTTCGACAGACCACTGGTTGGTCTGGGTTTTCTGACCCTCTGGGTCCAATGGCTATGCCAGCTGAGAGTCTTTGGGGTACACTGGGACACAGGAGTTTTTGGAATTTTGCACTGGAAAATCAAGATCACCATGCAGCTTTGGGCAAGTGATTTCTCTGAGCCTGTTTACTCATTTTCAAGTAGACAACAATTCCCATCTTGGCAGGATTCTGGAGAGGCTTATGTGTCACAGTTTTTGTAAAGTGCCTGGTTTGATGGGGCCCATGCTCCATCAACCATCTGTGTTTTTACCTCCTTAGTGTGTTCACACTGCTTGGGGTCATGGTGATGTCTGTACATATACATTTGGTTGATTTTTCCACCAAACTGGAAGCTGTTTTAAGCGAGACGCCAGGCACAACCCCTGTCTGTCACCCGAGCTCCTCCCTGGCACACTTCTGGGCACCAAAGAGGCCTCTACTTTTTGCAGGGGAAGAACTGAGATGGGCAGAGTGAATGATGGCATCTTCTCAGAAGCCATGCAGGTGTGGGGAGGGCTGCTAGCCTCACCCCAAGAAGCCTGAGGCTGCCCCTGATGGCGCCCTGTCTCTTGTGCCCTCAGCAAAGCCAACCCAAGTCTGCTAGTGAGAAGTCACAGCGCAGCAAGAAGGCCAAGGAACTGAAGCCAAAGGTGAAGAAGCTCAAGTATCACCAGTACATCCCCCCGGACCAAAAGCAGGACAAGGGGGCCCCGGCCATGGACTCCTCCTACGCCAAGATCCTGCAGCAGCAGCAGCTCTTCCTGCAGCTCCAGATCCTCAACCAGCAGCAGCAGCAGCACTACAACTACCAGACCATCCTGCCTGCCCCGCCAAAGTAGGAACCCAGTCAGCACTGCCTATCCCCCATGCCAGCTGCCCCAAGACAGGCAGATGCCAGGTCTGGTGGGGATGAGTCCCGGATCTTCAAGGACCCTTTGGTCTGGATACTACAGAGTAGTCCCCAGGCAGGCAGAGCCCTCGCCCCAGTCCCATCTGTACCCAACCCTGCAGCCCAGTTTGGGGGCTGCCACTTGTAGACCAAGCATGATGCTTGATAGATGCTCATTTCTGCCTCTTCTTTTCAGGTCAGCAGGTGAGGCTCTGGGAAGCAGTGGGGCTCCCCCAGTGCGCAGCCTCTCCACTACCAGTAGCAGCCCCAGCTCAGGTACCCCTGGGTCCTGTGGACTGGCACGTCAAAACAGCACCTCACTGGCTGGCAAGCCAGGAGCCCTGCCAGCCAACCTGGACGACATGAAGGTAGGCAGCCACCTCCTGTCCACTGGATGACCAGCACCACTGCCAGCCTAGCCTCTCCCACAGGGACTATCTGGGTGCTGGTTTTTAGGCCAAGGAGGGAACTGGCCTAGGACCCACCACTCTGGAAGGCAGAGCAGGGGTCCAGGATCTGATCTCCACCAGACAGGGACACTTGGGAACCAACTCTGAGGCCTGCCTGACCATGTTATAGCAACATCATGGTGGTCACTATCATTAGTGACCCAGACAGTATCTGCCCAGGGCTGGGGGACTGACCAAGCAGTCGTATATCTTATCTTCCTCAACCTCTGTGGTGCAGAGTGAGGGATGCAAGTTGATGCTGCCTTTGAGGATGAGCAAGATGTGGCATGGTTGGGAAGAGCAGCTTGTCCAGGGTCACCGCCCTGGCCACTTATAGACTTGTAGGCAAGGCTATCCAGTTTATTTCAGCACCCCTGCCCTTTCCACTTGCCAGTTAATGCCCAGCCGAATCTGCTGTTCAAATGCTGTGTTGCCTGGGAAAAGACAGACTTGGAGAGTGAGTCATGCCCAGTGCCTTGCCTGTTTTCTCTGCCCCATCAGAAGATGGACTGGACCAAATTCTTCCTTGGGAACTTGTCCTCTGAACCAGGCTGGCCCCTCCTGCATCATGATCTGATCCCAGTAGCACATAGCACTTGTGGAGGCAGCTGGCCATGGGTTTTGGAGTCCGTCAGACCTGGGTTTAAATCCTGGATTGTCCATTCACTAGCTCTGTGATCTTGAAGGAGTTATTTTATTTTGTAAGCTCAGTTTTCTCATCTGTAAAATTCAGTTTGTTCATTAAATGGGGATTGAGCCCAAGTACTATGCTAGGGGCTAGAGACAGCTCTGGGCATGATGTTGTGCCCAGACCCCGCTGCCTTCAGATGTGGGGCAGCATTTTAACCACATCTGTTGGAGTGAGGATGATGAAATGGATGATGTTATTGGGGACTCGAGTGGGGGGCTTCTCACCCTCCAGGCTAGATGAGGATCCAGGAAGTCAGTTGAAGCATCTGAAGTGGTCAGTGGGGCCCAGACAGACAAGGCCTAACCTACAAAATGCTCATCCCTCCCATCCTTCCCAGACTGTCCTCCTGCCTGGACTCAGTCCCCTTTGTCCAGCTGCCTGTGGCCTCTCTGACGCTTGACCCCCTTGCAGGTGGCAGAACTGAAGCAGGAGCTGAAGTTGCGGTCACTGCCTGTCTCAGGCACCAAGACAGAGCTGATTGAGCGCCTGCGTACTTACCAAGACCAAATCAGCCCTTCCCCGGGAGCTCCCAAGGCCCCAGCTGCCACTTCTATCCTACCCAAGGCTGGCGAGGTGGTGGTCGCCTTCCCAGCAACCCGGCTAAGCACTGGGCCAGCCCTGGTGGCAGCAGGCCTGACCCCAGCCGAGGTGGTAGTGGCCACAGTGACCAGCAATGGAGTGGTGAAATTCGGCAGCACGGGCTCCACACCCCCTGTGTCTCCCACCCCCTCAGAGCGTTCACTGCTCAGCACGGGTGATGAGAACTCCACCCCTGGGGACACCTTTGGTGAGATGGTGACGTCGCCTCTGACACAGCTCACCTTGCAGGCCTCGCCACTGCAGATCCTTGTGAAGGAAGAAGGCCCCCTGGCCGGGTCCTGCTGCCTGAGCCCTGGGGGGCGGGCAGAGCTGGAGGGTCGTGACAAGGACCAGATGCTGCAGGAGAAGGACAAGCAGATTGAGGAGCTGACTCGCATGCTCCGGCAGAAGCAGCAGCTGGTGGAGTGGCTCAGGCTGCAGCTGGAGCAGGAGAAGCGGGCCCAGCAGCCCAGCCCAGTCCCCACTCTGGCCCCTCTTGGCACCCCCGTGAAGCAGGAGAACAGCTTCTCCAGCTGCCAGCTGAGCCAGCAACCCCTGGGCCCTGCTCACCCCTTCAGCCCCAGCCTGGCAACCCCCACCACCAACCACATAGATGCCTGTGCTCCGGCCCCGGGGCCCCCAGCCGTGGTGGTGAAGCAGGAATCCGTGCTGCCCGAACCTGAGCCGGTCCCTGCCCCTCAGCTGCTTCTGGGCCCACAGGGACCCAGCCTCATCAAGGGGGTCACACCTCCCACCCTCATCACTGACTCCACAGGGACCCACCTTGTCCTCACTGTGACCAATAAGAATCCCGACAGCCCTGGCCTGTCCAGTGGGAGCCCCCAGCAGGTACCTGGCTGTGGGAGGAGCAGGGCAGGGCCCAGAGGGCGGGAAGACTCTTCTCACCACGTCTCTCGTGTACCAGGTGCCCCGTGTGCTGGACATTTTGTTTACTTCGTTTAGTCTTCTCTTCAACCCTCTGAAATGAGGGCTCACCACCCCCATCTCATTAAGGGGACTAGTGAGACTTAGGCAAGTTAAGGGACCATGAGGTGGGGCCTTCAGGGAACTGCTCGCCTCTCTAGCCATTGGTGCCAGAACATTCCTGCACCTTGGCAGTAGGGTTCCTGCACAGTCACCACCCAGGCCAGGACCCTGTGGTAGCCTGCCCTAGGGAGAAGCTGTCCCAGGATTCAGCTTGGGGCACTCCCCTCAGAGAAGCCAGCTGTCACCCACCAATGTGTCAGCAGCTGCTGGCTCCCTCACAGCACAGACCCTCCCCCCAGACCAGTCCAAAAGTGAAGCTGTTCTTAGGCTTTGTGTAGCCTCTCAACTCTGTAGAGCTTGGGGGTAGAAGGGACAGTGACAGGAATGGGCATCTCAGGATGGGAGACAGGGACCCCTGAGCAGCCTCAGACAGAGAAAGAGGATGCAGAATTCTCAGGGGGTGATTGGCCCAGAGCCCATCCTCTCTCTCCAAGCCTCAGGGAGCCAGTCATCCCTGCAGGGTCAGGGGCCCCATCTCATATCCCGTCTTACCCAGTGGCTTTCACGAAAGCCCCTCAAAAGCCAATGCAGCTAGCAGAGTGGGCCTGGCCGAGAAGGCAGGTGCCTTTCACCTGGTCCTCCTGCAGTGTGCGGGTCCTAGCTCTGAGGCCCTCACCCCACAGGCAGATCTGAAACTCTGGCCCCCCAGCCACTGTCCTTTCCCTGCTCTCCCCCGTCCAGCCCTTGTCCCAGCCTGGTTCTCCAGCCCCTGGCCCGCCTACCCAGATGGACCTGGAGCACTCGTCACAGCCCCTCTTTGGGACCCCCACTTCTCTGCTGAAGAAGGAGCCACCTGGCTATGAGGAAGCTGTGAACCAGCAGCCCAAACAGCAGGTGAGGAAGGTGGACTGAGCTTGGCCAGGATGGCAGCGGCCCCTGGTTGCTGGGCTGTGGCTTCCATAGCCCTATCCAGAGGAATGGGGACAGGCAGAAACCAGTCTTCAGGGTCAAAGAGGCCTTATGGAATGGTCCAGTGTGGCACGGGGCGCCAGGGCCTGGCCAGTGGAGTGAGTCTAGGCTGCGGGAGTTGGTACAACCTGTGGGCGCTGTGTGTCTCGCTGGGGCAGAAAAAGGTCCTCAGTCCTAGGCCAGGCAGGAGGAGCCCTGTTCAAGATTATCATCTTATTTTTCTATTTTTGTCCCATAGGAGAATGGTTCCTCAAGCCAGCAGATGGATGACCTGTTTGACATTCTTATTCAGAGTGGAGGTAACCCCCAACCCCTGTTGCCTCCCTGAGCGCCTTCTCTGTTCGTAGGTCTCTAACCCTGGGTTGGTTGACTCAGTTTTTATTTCCTGAACACTTCAGTGAGTGACAGGCCTTGTTCAGGCAATGTAGATGCAGCAGTGGCTGAGAGCCATCCCCCACCTCTGAGGACTGGGCGAAAGGACCTGGGACTGTGCATTCCTTCAGCAGGTGTCCACTGTACCATGCACCTGTCCTGAGGCCCCCCTCACTCTAGGTGCCTGGGATGTGCCAGTGAACCAAACTAACATTTGCCATTGTGGAGTTCACAGTGTGTCCTGGGGAGGTAGATGACAAATATGTGATAAATTATTTGGAATGTCAGAAAGGAGCAAGTGTTAGGAAAAATATATAGTGGAAGGAGAATATAGTGGGGAGCACAGGGGGAAGTCAGGGACAAGCAGAGGGCCACGAGGGGACCTCAGGAAGGTGAGCACCTGTTACGTTGAGGGAGGAACTGGGTGAGGGGGAAGGAAGTCAGAGGTCACAGGTGGTCACACAGGGCCTCCTAGGCACCAGGACAGAGCAGGCTTTGGTATAATCATGTCGGAAGCCATTGCACAGCTTTTTTTTTTCTTTTTTCTTTTTTTTTTAATGTCAGGGTCTCACTCTTATCCAGGTTGGAGTGCAGTTGCATGATCATGTTTCTCTGCAGCCTTAAACTCCTGGGCTCAAGCTGTCCTCCCTTTTCAGCCTCCCAAGTAGCTGGGACTACAGATGCATGCCATCACACTGCACACTGATTTTTTTATTTTTGTGGAGACGAGGTTCTCACTGTGTATCCCAGACTGATCTCAAACTCCTGGGCTCAAGCAATCCTCCTGCCTTGGACTCCTGCCTCGGATTACAGACATGAGTCATTGCATCTGGCCCATCACGCAGCTTTGAGCAGAGTGGCCTGGTCTGACGCAGGACCTGAGATCCCTCCAGCTACACAAGGGCAGAAGCAGGGAGCCCTGTGGGAGGCAACTGCAGTGATCCTGGAGAGTGGGTCTGCCTGAGCCAGGGAAGCAGCAGTGACGTGGAGAGAAGGGCTGGAGTCTGGGCACCATTTGGAGAGAGCCGGGTTGAGGTCTTTATGGATTCAGTGTGGGGAAAGGGAAAGAGCAGCAAGGAGGGCTCCAAGGCTATGGCCTGAGGTCCTGGGGTGAAGCGGCCATCGGCGAGCTCTGGGGGGACCCACGTGGAGCTGTATCAGCACAGACTCTGATGAGGTTTACATATGTCGCGAGACATTGGAATAGAAGGTTCACGTGGACGGTTGGCAGTGTGAGTGGCGCTTGGGAGGTGGGAGTTAGGGCACTGTCGCCTCTAGATTGGCAGTTGGAGCTATGAGGTCACCGAGGTTGTGCTGGGAGAGCAGAGGTTGGAGACCTGAGCTCTGGCTGGCCTGGGAGGGGGAGGAAGACAAGCAGATGTGGCAGAGCAGTGGGCAGAGTGAGTTTTCAAGGAAGCAGAGGATCAAAGCCAGTTCATGGGAGCAAGCACCGGCAGATGTGCGGAAGGCTGAGGGAGGACTGGGGGAACGGGGTGGGAGGTGATGTGAAGAGCTCCCTGGGGAGGTTTCCCTGCAGAGGAAAGAAGGAAGTAGGGCACGTGCTAATGTGGTAACGTGTATACACCAAAATTTGCTGTTTCTAGAACTTTTGCATCATCCTAAACTGCAGCTGTTGCATTTTAAATTCACGCCAGCAATGCACACGGGTTGTGATTTCTCCACATCCTCACCAACATGTCTTATTTTCAATTTTTTTTTTTTTTTTTTTTTTTAGTCAGGTTGTCACTCTGTCACTCAGGCTGGAGTGCAATGGCACAGTTGCAACTAACCACAGCATTGACCTCCTGGACTCAGGTGATCCTTCCACCTTAGCCTTCCTGAGTAGCTGGGACTGCAGGCACATGCCACCATGCTCGCTTTTTTTCTTTTTTTGGAGAAATGTGGTCTTACTATGTTGTCTAGGCCAGTCTTGAATTCCTGGGCTCAAGCAGTCCTCTTGTCTCAGCCTCCCAAAGTGCTAGGATTACAGGCGTAAGCCACCATGCCCAGCTTCAATTTTTTGATAATAGCTACCCTAATGGGTGTGAAGAGTTATCTTGTGACTTTCCTAATGGCTAATAATGTTGAGCATCTTTCCATGTGCTTATTGGCCATTTGCTTATCTTCTATTGGAGAAATATCTACTTGAGTCCTTTGCCTATTTTTTTAAATTGTAATAAAATACACATAAAGTTTACCATCTTAACCATTTTTAGGCATACAGTCCATTGGTATTAAGTACATTCATCATATTGTGTGACCATCCCCACCATCCTTCTCTGCAACTCTTTCATCTTATAAAAGTAAGACTCCTGGCTGGGCGTGCTGGCTCACACCTGTAATCCCAGCACTTTGGTAAGCCGAGGCAAGAGGATTGACTGAGCCTAGGAGTTGGAGACCAGCCTGGGCAACATGGCATGACCTCGTCCCTACAATAAAATCAAAAAATTAGCCGGGCATGGTGGCGCATGCCTATGGTTCCAGCTCCTTGGAAGGCTGAGGTGGGATTGCCTGAGCCCAGCAGGTCGAGGCTGTGGTGGCCATGAGCGTGCCACTATACTCCAGCCTGGGTGACAGAGTGAGACTCTGACTTAAAAAAAACCCACAACTGAAACGCTGTTAAACACTAACTCCCCCTTCTGTCCTTCCCCTCAGCCCTGGCAACACTATTCTATTTTCTGTGTCTCTGATTTCAACTGCTCTGAATACTTCATACAAGTGGAGCTATCCCTTGTCTCTTTTGACTGACTTATTTCACTTAGCAGAGTGCCCTCAGGGTTCATCCATCAATGGGTTGCTTCCACATTTTACTACTGTGACTAATGCTGCTGTGAACATGGTTATACAAATATCTGTTTGAGACTCTGCTTTAAGTTTTTCTGGATGTATACCCAGAAGTGGGATTGCTGGAGCATAAGGTAATTCTAATTTTTTGAGGAACCTCCATCTGTTTTTTCACAGCAGCTGTACCATTTTATACTTCTACCAGCAGCGCACAAAGGTTCCAATTTGTCCTTATTTTCTGGGTTTTGTTGTTGTTGTTTTGTCTTTTAAATAGTAGCCACTCCAGTGGGTGTGAGATGGTATCATTGTGATTTTTATTTGAATTTCCCTCATGATGAGTGATGCTGAGCATCTTCTCATGTGCTGCCGGCCATTTGTATGTGTTCTTTGGAGAAATGCCTATTCAAGTCCTTTGCCCATTTCTGAATCGGGTTTATTTTTTGCTGTTGGGTTTTAGGAGTTCTTTATGTATTCTGGATTTCAATCCCTTATCTAATATATGATTTTTAGAATTTTATAGTTTTAGCCCTTATATTTAGGTCTTATTTTTTATATGGTGTGAGGTTAGATTCCACCTTCACTCTTTCACATGTAGCTATTCAAGCTGGTTTCTGACATTCATTCAATGTCTTGACTGACAGAAATTTCAGCAGATTTCAAGGAGCCGCCATCCCTGCCAGGGAAAGAGAAGCCGCCCTCAACAACAGGCTGCAGGTCTCCCCTGGCAGCACAGCCCTCACCATCCACTGAGCTCCCTCAGGCTGCCCCACCTCCGCCAGGCTCGCCATCCCTCCCTGGGCGCCTGGAGGACTTCCTGGAGAGCAGCACAGGGCTGCCCTTGCTGACCAGTGGGCACGAAGGGCCGGAGCCCCTTTCCCTCATCGATGACCTCCACAGCCAGATGCTGAGCAGTGCTGCCATCCTGGACCACCCCCCATCACCCATGGACACCTCCGAATTGCACTTTGCCCCTGAGCCCAGCAGCAGCATGGGCCTGGACCTGGCTGATGGCCACCTGGACAGCATGGACTGGCTGGAGCTGTCATCAGGCGGCCCCGTGCTAAGCCTGGCCCCCCTCAGCACCACCTCCCCCAGCCTGTTCTCCACAGACTTCCTCGATGGTCACGATTTGCAGCTACACTGGGATTCCTGCTTGTAGCTCTCTGGCTCCAGAGACTGGCGGTAGGGAAGGGGCCGGAGGGCGGGGGAGCCAGGAAACTTCAGCGAGTGGCTTTCTCCTGCTTGACTCGCCCTCTCCCGTGATTGTGAGTCTTGACAATCACAACCCCCGCTTTTTCCCTACTCCGGGAGGCTGGAGCAGAGCAGCTCCTCCTCCTGCTTCAGGCTCACCCAGGGCAGAGGAAAGTAGCTGTCGAGGAGCAGCCCTGGCTCCCATGCTGGGGCTTTGGAGGTCTGGACAGAATCAGGGCCATGTCCATTTGACCTTTTTTGAGGTCAGAGGTGCACCACCTGGCTGCAGTTTGACTAAGGCAGGTGAGGCCCAGCCAGGAGACACCTCTGCTAGCCCAGGGCTGAGACGGGTCGAGGGATGAGTCTCTTTCCTTTCTCTTCCCCCTTTGCTGTGAGGGAAGAAGTTAGCCTGGACCGCTACCCCCCCGTTCCCTGTGTCTGCCAACCCCAGGGTCCCAAGGCTTCCTGGGAGGGGTTCCCTGCCATTCAAGTGTCTTGGTGTAGTGTAACCATTTAGCAGGATGGTGGCAAAAGTTTTCTGTACAGGTGTATATACCTCTATATTATATATCGACATACATATATATATATATACATATATTTTTAGCGGGGGTGGAAGGTGGGTGCAGCTCCCTCCCATCCTACTCTCACAGAAGGGCCTGCAGGGCCGCGGCACCTGGATGCTGGATGCGGGTTACCCCCAAGCTGTGTGCCAGATAGTCTGGTGTCCAACCTGGCTGGCAGTTGCCCAGGCCCACCCATCACGTGTGTTTGACATGTAGACCCCCTGCCACAGCCTGCGCCCCACCTGTTCTGCTTCTTGGCTCCTTATCAGTGCCACAAGGGCAGAGGTGCGTCCTGGCCTTTCCGCCAGGAGCTCTCCACCCACTCACATTCCGTCCCCAATGCCTCACTGCAGCCCACTTGGCCCTGGGACAAGGGGCTTCAGGCCCAGCTCCATCCTGCTGTGGGGCTGAGAGGTGACCACGAAACTGTGGCCTTCTGCTGCCCTGGGGCCACTGGGCTCGCGTTCTGGCCTGATTCGCAGGGGAGTAGGGAGGGAGTCACCGAAACCAGCTGGGACATAAGGCGGGATGTTGTGTGAACTTTCTAAAATAAAAACAAAACACTGGCTTGTTGGTTCGCCTTATTCGGTCCATGGACGGGATGGGTGACACTTTGGGGCGGCCATGCAGCGACCCTACTACTCCTCCCCATGCAGGAAGAAAGTAGCTAGGCTGTGCCTTCTAGACTCTTCCAGGAAGGGCAGAACCTTGGTACATGTACAGCTGTGCAGCCCTGGCTGGAGAGAAGACAGGATACGCTTTCCCAAAGACAGTTTATTTACAAACCAAACAGGCCCAGGAGCCTTTGTCATTAGCCACCCTCTCTCCCCCACCTCCTGAGCAAAGTCTGACACGTAGGCATGGCCCTCCCCCTCCTCACAAGGTTTTTGGTCAGTACAAACTGGTGGGGGCCTGGGGCTTCCCTAAGGACTCTGGTGGGCAGAGCCCCTCTCCCTCAGGTGCTCTGGAGGAAGAGGCTGGGCCGGGCACCCACCTTCTCCCGCCCCCAGTGATGCTGTGGGGAGTATGGGTTGGGGGACCCTGCTCTCCCCCTCATGAGGCCCTGGCCAGGGCTCCAGAGCGTGCCTGTCTTTTCACTGGGCCCCACGGCTTGGGGTAGGCCTGTGCCACTTCAGGCCCAGTCCCAGAGCAGGCCCGAGGCTGGCCAAGGCAGTGCCGCTCTTGTCCTGTTGGAGGGAAGGGCCTCTTTGGTAGCCAGTGGGTTGGGGGAGGCCCGGGCTGGACAGGGCAGCTGGAGGAGGAGTATCACCCGTCTATGTCCCAGCTGAAGAGGTGGTGCTTCACCAGCATGTCCTGAACGCCTTCCTTCAGGGGCTGCTTCTCCTCCTGCACACAGCGGCAGCCCCTCACCTCACAGGCCTTGAGCCAGGGGCCCCAAAGAAGCGCAGGGTGGCCAAGGCCAGAGCACTTCCTCAGCCGCTGATACCCGCACTCTGGGTCCTCACCGGGGCCCCCACCTCAGCCACCCGGGAACTGTCCAGGACACTCCACAGCACGGGCCCCAGCAGGGCCACAAAGCAACCCACACCACCCACCTCTCTCTTCGCAGGGAGCTCCCAGTCCTGGGAGAGGCTGAAGGCAAAGCAGCAGAGGACGCTGGAAGAGAAGGCCTCTCGTCACCCTCCGTCGGCCCTTCCCTCCCATGCCTCCGTTCCCCAACGCCAGGCAAGGTCCTGGTAAGCCTGGCAAGGTCCTCACCGGAGCTCGCACTTGATCTGGACCCAGCCTGGGCTGCGCAGGAAGGACCAGGGCTGGTACCACTTCTCCACAGTCGGCAGGCTGGAGCACAGCACCTCCAGCCACAGGTGCAGCACCTGCTCACTGGGGACAAAGCCGGGAGGACTGGGCAGCAGGGCTGCTCCGGGCCCTCCTGCCAGCGGCCCATGGCAGACGCCTCTGGCCCACCCTTTAGCAGCTCCCTGACCAGGTTCCTGAGGTTCCTTCTCTGTCCTTTAGGTCCCCTTTGGGGATCCCTTTCATGCCGGGCTGCGCGACCCCCACTGCAGGGCTCCTTCAGCCCCTCTCGTACCCCCTTTTTTACACTTACTTGAGTCCCACGCAGATCAGTGAGCGGAGCTTGACATCCATTTGTGCATGTGCCGCATCGTGGGTCACATTCACAGACTGCACAGCCTGGGGACGTGGCACAGCTAGCTGTCACTAGACACCCCACTGGCCCACCCAGGAGAGGTCTCTAGGGTGTGGCAGAACAGGTCTTGCTTACCCGGTAGAGCAGCTCCTCCGGGGTTAGGACTTTGCCATCTTCATCCAACCTGAGGGGGGACCAAAGCTCCTGGTGTGCTGGGTGCAGGGTGCGGCCCCTCCCTCCCACGGCAGGTGACTCAGTTACCTGTAGGTCTTACAGAGCACCAGGCGGGAATACACTGAGTCGAAGTCTCGCTCCACCTCCCGGCCCGCTGCCTGTGGGGGACAGTACACAGGGTGAGTGTAGGGACAGGGAGGTGCCAGTTCAAAGCCACTGGGTCCAGCTGTGCACACATCAGGGAGGGGCCGCACCCAGCTCCCCAGCTCCTTCTGCACACACTGCAAGCTCCTCCTGCACCCTTCACAGGGCCCAGGGGCAGGAGGGGCCTAAGAGGGGCACTGTGGGGCACAGCAGGGCTGGTGCAGGGGCAAGGGACATGGGCCAGCCACTGACCTACCTCCTCAATAAACAGCCAGGGGTGGCAGGCACCTCCAAGCAGGGATGGCTTCTTCAGTCCATGTTCAAGCAGGGCCTTGAGAGCAGGGCAGAGGGTCCCTCGCACGAGGTCTGTGACCCCCTCCGTCACTGAGTCATCCCCCGCAATGGAGTACTGATGGGGAAATGGGTCTGAGAGGCCCCTTCCCGACACCTGCCACCCTCTCCCCTGTGTTCACAGCCACTGCCATCATCCAGGACTCACTCAGACACAGGCCCTAGCTAGGGGCCATGCCGGGAGTCAAGGCAAGAGCAACTCCTGGGAATGGCCCCGTCCTGTCCACCCTCTTACCTCTTTGCTCCGTTCATCCAGGACCTCCACGAATTTGGCTGGAAACCAGCCTGCAGGAGAAGCAGGCCTTGTGAGGCACTGTGGATGGCTATCCCGAGCCTTCCCCCAGGAGGCAGAGGACAGAGCTGGTGCAGCCCGCAGCAGAGTGCCTGCCTCAGAGCCAGTGACCAGGGGCTGCTAGCAAGGCAGGGGCCTAGAGGAAAACCACTGGGCAGCCCAGTGTGCCCACGCCTCCACTGCCTAGTCCTCCTCCCTCCTCTACCCCAAGAGCAGGCAAAGGCCCTCACCTCGCAGGCCATTCAGCTCCCCCACCCAGCAGTGCTCGTCCTTCTGAGACACGATCTGTGCAGGAGGAAAAACGGCAAGAGCCACAGCTGGGTGTCCAGAGCCAGCCCCTCACACACCCACTGACCCTGTCCTTAGCAGTTCAGCCAGGCCAAACCCCACATCTTCAAAAGCAGAAGCTCTTGGCAGGGAAAGCACCTGGGCCAGGGCTTGGGTAACTGGCCAGAGTCTCAGGGCCAGGACCAGGACGCGGAGGCCCCACGCACCGTGATGATGTCGTTCTTGCGGAAGCCCAGCTCGTCGTCGTCATGCCGCTCGAAGTCCAGCAGAGCCTTAGCCCTGCGCCGGTGGCTGCGTGAACATGCCACATAGTTCTCATGGTCCCGCTGGTGGCTCTCCATGCTGTAGTCTGGGGTCAGCTCCTGCCAGAGTGGACAGGAATGCCCGCCAAGGGGAGCAGCCTCAGCACCACGAATGGGGCTGGGGAAGGGGGGCTGCAAATCCATGCTGTTTGGTCCTGGCCCGGGGAACTGGCCACTCACCACACTACAGTTTTTGGGGTCTGTGCACTGGAAATGGCGTGCCACACGCAGAATGGCTTCCCGGAGGTCAGCCACCAGTTCTGTCTGCTTAATGTTCTTTGCCTTGAGCACCTCCAGGTCATCCTCCCCTAGGAAGCCCAGGAAACAATGATGACCACAGCCTCTCCCAAGGCCCCATGAGGAGAGGAAGCTTTGAATTCACACCAGCACAAGGACGGCCTATGCTGACGTCCACCTATCTGCACTGCCCAGCCTGTGCCCTAATGGAGTTCTTACCAAAGAGCAGGGCGGTGATGGCGGACTTTCTCTGCTGGGTCCTGCGCCGAACAACCTACAGCCAGGGAGAATGGGTCAGCGGCAGCCCAGCCCCCTCACCAGAAAAAAGCTAACCTGCCAGCCTCTCACTCGTGCTGTCTCATCTGAAACGGCCTCTAGGGGCCAGCTCTGAGGGTCACAAAAGTAGAATCAGTTCAGAGCTGGGTCTGCCCTACTCCCAAACTGTGTCAGGGACAGAGCTAGAGAGACACACAGCCCAGAGGGACGAGCCACCCCGCAGGTGTGGGCTGACTGGTCATGCCAGGCCCCAGTGTTGGGCCACGAGGACAGCAGGGCAGGAAGGGCCAATCTCTCCCCTGCAGCCCTGCACTTGGGGCTGCTTGAGGCTACCCTCCCACTGTGGGCCAAGGTGAGGCCTCACTCCTGGTCCACCTGAGAGAGGCTGGTGGTGGTACCAGCCCCCAGGAGTTGGCTCTGGTCTGCAATGAGATACGCCAGGTGCTTGCGGCGCTGCGTCTCCACGGCCACATCAGTGAGGGAGCCAGCCAGCCGCATGGCTGCCCCCAGCAGCAGCTCTGCGTCCTCAATCTGCGATGGGATATCCGACAGCGTGTTGAAGATGGAGGCCGAGTTCTCTGACTGGATCAGCTCCTCCTCCTGGGCCAAGCCAGAGCAGGATGGGGAGGGGATTGTCACTGCCTGATACCCGTACTGAGCTGACCCCAGTCCCCATCCTCCCAGCCATCGGGTCCTGCCTGGCCCAGGGAGATCCCCACCCACCCCACACAGACCCTGTTCCTCAGCCTGAAAGCTGGGTGGCACGGCCCTGGGGGACAGCAGGGCTTGGCAAGCACCTTGAGGCGCAGCATGCCCAGCGTGATCTGGAACAGCACCAGGGAGCCCTCGTAGAAAAACAGGTCCCAGATACGCAGCAGTAGCCTGATGTGCACCACGCTGGCGAAGGCCGTGAGGAACCAGTGCAGCGTGATCAGGGATAGCTCTGTGAACAGACCAGAGCTACTGTGGCCAAGACCAGAGAGCCCAGCTGTGGGGCAGCCTGGGGAGGAGGTGGAGGACACTTCCCAGAGTGGTAAGAAGCCTTGCCTGCTCAAGAGGAGAGCGAGGGGGAGAGGGGTCAGGGAGTGCCCGGAACAAAACAGCAGTGAGGACGCGAGGGTCCAGTCTCTGCCGGGTGTGGCCCGAAGCCTCAAGAGCTGCACGATCAGGGCCAGCATCTCAGGACCACCGAGTGGTTGCCAGATCTTACCGATGTCATGCTCCTGGAGCAGCTTGTCCAAGCGAGGCAGGTACTGGACGATGAGGTGGCGCAGGACCCGCTGATCCGTCTGGACACCCAGCAGGGTGGTGCTGAAGTAGGAGGCAGGGAGCAGGTCCTCGACGATGGCACTCATCATCCAGAAGGCATCCTCCTCCTCCAGGAACAGCAGGAGG